GTCCTCCTTTCTCAGATATCCGCGGCGTGCCGGACCGGAAATGAACCCCCCCTGTTTTCTGTTTGGTCTCATTGTTCAGGCTGACCACAGAGGCGCGCTGACAGCTGTCTGCTGTCTGCGCAGGAGCGGCTGCAGACAGATGTGTGTCTGCAGGCCGCAAACACCAGGAACTGATTAACATTAACCGTAAATAGTCAACAGCCTGAGGGGAATTTGTTTTACGGGTATTCAGCCCCGGCTCATCTAATAGTGGTTGGACCTGTTATTTTGGCACCTCTGTGGGCAGTTCAAGTTATTCTGCAAACAAATTCTGCTTCGTAGGAGTTTCTGCAGCGTAAAGCTGCGAGTTAACCTTCTGTTCACTCTGCAGTGTTTCTAATGCTTTCTATGTTTCACTGTTTCTCTCCCTTTAAATCCAGTTTTTTGCTGCTGAAATTTTCCTCCTACTTTGCTCTGATAAGTCCTGATGCCTTTCCTGCTCTGCGTTTGAGTAACAAGATTAGTTTAGGATTAGGCAAATACTTTATGCAAGTATTAAGCAGCTGAGCTTGAAAGAAAGGTTTCATTCAAAGCGGTCGAGTTTAGCGGTTTCTGACATCTAACCTTGAAACACTCTGAATCATGTGGTGCAGCTATTTTTCTGTCTTTCTTTACCGTCGCTCTGTCTCTGTGTCAAGTTCAGCATCTTCTGGCCTCCGTCTAAAAATAGAGCGTCATCTGCCCACTCATTTAGACAGAAAGGAAGTGCGGTGCATGTCGGCTTCTGCACTGGATCGACAGTTTCGCTTTTTAAGATGAAATACAAAGTCAGGCTCCGTTCCACGCACAAATACTCAGCATGCATTTCTTAACTAGTAGTATTTATACTGTTGCATGAATGTTTTCTTCATGGGATTTTAAATGCTTTAGGCTGCAAAGCGTATCTAAACGTTGGTTGATAAAGTGACGCTGCAGGTTTATAGGAAGTATGTCTATATCTGCCTTTTGCTCTCATATTAATAGTTCATTTGTTTTTAAGTGTGTGAATCGGTCAAAGAGGACTTTTATCAATTAATCAATTAATCACACTCTAGCATCACTGGGATGCTATAGTTTGATACAGTGCAGCTACACTGAGACCTTTGGTGTTCATCTTTGATTTGACATTAAGAGCTTCTGGATGAAGTGGGGGAAAATAAAAAGGAATGAAATGTTGATCCGGAGCTAAAATCATAGCTTATCCGTTTCCTTAGGAGGACTGCAAAACTCATTAAAACTATTGGGATATGAAATGCTAAGCTAAGGACGCTGCTCTGTCAGACCAGCATACCTATAGTCAACACGCATGTGCAAGACAACAGGTTTGCGTTTATCTCTTTAGTTTTGTAGGAAAAATAGACTTTAAACTACCTCATTAGGCGTGTTTCCCTTTAGTCATGCACAAAAAAAAACTGTTTATGGTCAGATCGCCGTAAGCTTTAAAAAATAAGTTATGAAGTAGTTTTTTTGTACATGACTAAAGCGATACACGCCTGATGAGGTAGTTTAAAGGCTATTTTTCCTACAAAACTAAAGGGATAAACAAGTATTGACTATGGCAGGGGTAACCAATTAAAAATCAGCGGGGTCAGAATAAAGGAAATCATCAACCAATAAAGGTCTGCAGACATTTTATTTATAAAATATAGATTTTCCATTTTAAAATCTAAAGTTCAGACAATATTTCAGTTTGGTTTATAGATAATTTCCTGATTCCCATATTTTCTCAAACAGCTGAACTGATGGTTTGTTATTTTCTTTCTTTTTTCTGTCTTAATGTTGGCAGTGGGCTTTAGGCTGCCCTGCAAGGCTTTAAACCTGGGTTTAACCGGAGACTAAGCCATTCTCAAGCACATATCAAGGAGCTCATTTTGAGCCTGGATCCAGATTTATTGTTGATTCTGTTCATGGTGGAGAATCCTGCTTCACAGCAGCAGGTTGAGCCAAACATCCTCTAAATGTGCTGGGTCATCTTTGAGCACGCCATTTCACTTTTCTTTCACCAGTTCACCGCAGTTCTTCCAGCAGTCCACACTTTCTCTGCTCTCTTTTTCTCATGGTCTTCTCCTTCTTTCCCATCGCCCGGCTTGCCACAGGTTTGCCTGCTGGGTCTAAAAGTAGCAGCAGCGGCAACCCAGACTGACAGCTCATTGGCTCATTTGGATCACGTGCAGCCTGGAGCCGGACGCTCCCCAGGGCTTTACCGTATTAACAGGAGAAGAGGCGCAAGTTGGACAACATGCTGTAATTTATAAATGTTTTAAACCAGGTTGGATCCAGATTAGCCAGCAGGTGGATCCAGACTGCAGTCTGCTAATCTGTGACCTCTGCTCAATGGGAACGCTGGTCTGATAGAACACTGCCACTAAAACACACAGTAGATCTCACAGTGTGTCAGATCCTCTGATTCCCTTCTGGATCTGCTGCTCATCAGAGCAGTGAATTGTTTCCATCTCTGCTCATGGGGTGATTATGCAGGTTTCTACTCAGGCGAGGCAACTGTTTTCACATCATAGAGGTTCTCCCTTCTGCTCACATTGGAATAAACAGGAGAAAAACACTAAATTGCTCAGTGCAGCCCATTAAGAGGAACTGGGTGTGCCGCCACACAAAAGATAGTGAGCTGATACTATCTCTCAGATCCATTCAGGGAGTTTGAAAAAGCAAACTTTTAAGATCACAGAAAAGCTAAAATCCTGAAACAAAAAAGGCTAAAAAAATTGTGATTAGTGCAAAGAAAAAAAAATATATTGGTTAAAATAATAGCAATTTAGATTTTTGGCACAATTGTTCAGCCCTAGTTTCTGCATATTTTATTCTAAGGATCTTTTTTGTTGTTGTCTTTAACTGTAGTTTAGGATCTTGGTTCTATATATCTTGGACTTGGAGCATCGTCCAGGTGTGTGAACAATTATGAATTACTGCACTGACCTGAATAAAGGAAATTAAATGTTAAAATGCACTGATGTGCTTGTTTTTATTTATCATAATGTAAAAATAACACAGACAAAAAACTTAATGTTGAAGCGAAAGCAATCCCTCACACTAAGCATGCTTGTAGCGACAGTGGAGACGAAGAACTCCCTTCGAACAGGAAGAAACCTCCAGCAGAACCAGGCTCAGTGTGAGCGGCCATCTGCTGAGGCCCACTGGGGTTCAAGGAGACAGAAGCAGACATAGAAAAAGAAGCATAGCTACAAAAGGCAACTGTCAACCAGCTCCACAGGCGGCCCCGTCCAGGAAACACACAGCCAGGCAGACGAGCTCCGAGCCAGCTCCCATGTCAGAGGATGAAGAGAGCACATCCAGTTAGTCACAGTCAGAGAAACAGGACTACACTGGAAAACAGGCCAAGCTCCAACATCTAGAAACAAAGGTGTTGATGGCAGCAGCACAGCTGATATTTCTCTCCAGGATGGAGTCACAGCCAAACAGGAACAGACCAGATGAAGCTACTATGAGAAAAAGCAGAGAGAGCAGAACGTTAGAGATTGAACTAACAGATTCTGCAGAGTGGGAGAATAGAGATAGAATGAAGCAGAATGATGAAAAAGGGGTCCCTATGTCCTCCAGAAGTCTAAGCCTATAGCAGCAGAACTATAGAGATAGATCAGGATAACCTGAGCCACTCTAACTAGAAGCTTTATCAAAAAGGAAAGTTTTAAGCCTAGCCTCCTAATAACTAAAATATCTGCCTCCCATTCTACTTTTAGAAATTCTAGGAACCACTAGTAAACCTGCAGAGTTAGAGCAAAGTTCTCTCTCCCTTTGTGTTGTTTTTTTTAACACAACACAAAGCTAGCAGCTTTGATTTGTTTCTCACAGAACCAGGGGATGATTTCGTAAAGGAGGAACATGAAATCACAAAATAAGATTTTAGAAAATCTAAGATATGCGTGCTCTGAAACACACCTGGCCACAGAAATCAGCCCCTCCCACAAAGCTGCTAATGACGCCCTGATAATTCTCCTCTCCTCTGCGTGAGCCCATCTGTATGAAAGAGGAAATAAAGTCAGAGCGCAGCCTTCATTCTCACTCAGTCTGCATGTTGGTGTCAGTCCAGGATGAGCAGCGTGTGAAAGGAGGGGTGGTGAAAAGTTCACATGACAGGGTGAGTTACACCTATACAGTCACTTAAGATTTAATCGTTTGCTGTTTTATCTTTTTCATTCCTGATTAATAACATTTATTCTTCATTCTGATACGTTTCAACGTTCAGATGCATTTAATTTGATCCACTTTTCCGTTTCTGTATGAATGAAGATCTTTACGTTCAGGATTCGCTTTAATTCACTACAGTCTGTTTTCTGAGTGGAGATGGAAACACTGAACACTTTAAGACGTCTTTTTTTAGCTGCAGTTTTATTCTCAGACTAAACTTCCAACTGCAGTATTTAGCACCTTCCGTGCCGAGTCGGTGGTTTTAGTGACTGAGTGGTCGTGACTTTGTGTTGTGGGTGTTTTAGTTGTGAGTCATGGGCCTGTGTGGGTCCTAGGATGAGAGAAGTAGGCGCAAAGTTTTTATTTATAGTATCAAATTTTATCACCTCTGAGGGAGGAAGAATGGCCACCATGCTGTTACTCAGGAGAAGGTGTTTGGGTCGCCGGAGGCATCGCCTAATGTCCTTATTTAGATATAAAACACTCAAAGAGACGAAAGAGGCTCTTAGCATTCAGGAAGGTTTTATGCGGCTTAAAAAACTGGAATCTTCATTTTTATGATCTTGTTTACATAAATAGTTCTGAAAAACGGCTGGTTTTTAAAGACTGCTTACATCATCAGTGTGTGTTTCCTGGACGGGGCCGCCTGTGGAGCTGTTTGCCTTTCGTATCTATGCTTCTTTTTCTATGTCTGCTTCTGTCTCCTTGAACCCCAGTGGGCCTCAGCAGATGGCCGCTCACACTGAGCCTGGTTCTGCTGGAGGTTTCTTCCTGTTCAAAGGGAGTTTTTCCTCTCCACTGTCGCTACAAGCATGCTTAGTGTGAGGGATTGCTGAAGAGTCAATGAGTCGATGCAATCAGCTGGTTTTCCTTAGATAGAAAACTTTGAATCAATCTGACTGGATGATCTGGTGAACTGGAAAGTGACCTGAGATGACATGATGTGAATTGGAGCTATAGAAATAGACTGAATAGAATTGAATTGACAGCATCTAGAATCAAGTGTTGAATTTTAACCAGATGTGGGTAGAGTAGAGGAGCCATGCTAGAAACTAAAAACTATATGCTGAGTAACTGATCTAGTTACTAGTCATTATTACGAGATCCGACTAGATAAAAAATATAGAGTTAGATGCCGATTATAGAGTTTAATTAACAGGCAGTAATTAAACAACAAATTTAGGTGGAGCGACACGTTTTGATCTATTTATTATCTATTATTATGACCCGACAGACTCAGCAGGTGGGAAAATAACCTTAAACCTGATGACGCTTGACAACAGAGAGGAAGTTTAGCCTAAACATAATCTGGAAGCATGATCCTCGCCGGTGCTTTATTTTTTAAAACAAGCTTGTTCATAATGAGTAGAGTAGCCAAAATAAAAAGCAGAATGTGGTTAAACGGCTCTTTAAATACATGTTTTTCTAAAAATTGCTCAAGTAAAAGAACACCAATTAGAGGCGAATAGAAATATCGATATCGGAGGTTTTATTAAAACGATATCCGATACATATTGGCTAGAATATAAAAAACTGAACAAGGACATAAAGGATATCTACGGTTAAATTATGTTCCAACAAAAATATGATTCAAGACAAAGAAACAGAAAATAGAATTAAAATAATCTGCTTTTATCTGAGCAGAGTCAACATTGGGCTATAAATAATAATAAATATTAAAAAACCTTATTATCTTTGTAACATAAAAAAATATGGATGTTTTGATGACAAAAATGAATGTCAATATAATAACGACAAACACCAACTCGCCCGAATATATTAAGAAAAATAACAAAAGTGATTCTAGAAGAAATTCAGGAAAAACATTCAGAGTGAAAGAAACATATTTTCTTTAGTCCAACATAACCTTAGAGGCATTAATGCTGATACTGGAACTGACATGTTTTAGTTTATAAACATAAACACAATTGTTAACTAGGCTTATTAACTTTTTAAGTTTTCAATTAGATTTGAACCTTTTTTTCTTGACTTGTTAACGTTTTATTCCACTTAATTTACAGTAGGGAATCTATCATTCAAGGGCCTATTACACAAATGGCAATCGTTAGCCCTGGCCGCTGAAAAAGGGCTGACATTAGCCCCGGGCTGTTGAAGAAGGCCTAATGTTAGCCCCGGCCGCTGCAGACGGACTAACGTTAGCCCTGGGCCGCTGAAGAAGGGCTAACGTTAGCCCCGGGCCGCTGAAGAAGGGCTAACGTTAGCCCCGGCCGCTGCAGACGGACTAACGCTAGCCCTGGGCCGCTGAAGAAGGGCTAACGTTAGCCCCGGCCGCTGCAGACGGACTAACGCTAGCCCTGGGCCGCTGAAGAAGGGCTAACGTTAGCCCCGGCCGCTGCAGACGGACTAACGCTAGCCCTGGGCCGCTGAAGAAGGGCTAACGTTAGCCCCGGCCGCTGCAGACGAGCTAACGTTAGCCCTTCTGCAGCGGCCGGGGCTAACGTTAGCTCGTCTGCCCTGGCTGCTGTTACCATTAGAGCGGTGCTGTTGCCACGGTCGTCTCAACTTCGGAAACTTTTTCTTAAATTATGATTTAAATCAGTAAGTGTTCCATATAGTGAAGCTTAAAGTTTAACGTTCTTGCTTTAAATAATTTTAAAACGTACTTTTATTGAACAACAGCATCAGAAAAGAGAACTCTGGAAGCTGCTGCTGCTGCAGTGCATGCTGGGACAGCTGTCAGTCTGGAGAACGGACCAGTCTGCTCTGATGCATGCTGGGTAAAGAGGGAGGGGCCAGAACAACATCCAGGGACTTTGTCCGTTCTCGGTCTGCTGTTCTTGTAAATTGGAACAGTGCTACGGCTGAGGATTGTGACGTTTCACGAGGACGCACAAGTACACAGATTCAGAAACAGCCTTAGTTTTTGTTTACGGATGAACGGGTCCACGCCTTTGGAACGGGGGTCATTTGGCTTGTTTTTTTCCAAAGGGGGGGATCCGTTAATCTGTTTCTATTTGCATGTTTTCTAAACTAAAACCAGGCTTTGTTGGGCTGCTGGATAAAACCTGGAACTAAACGCTATTTCTGACATTTTGGATTGAAAAAGCTTCCTGGATGGAAGAGAAACGTCTTCAAACTCGGAAACAAAGTCCAGAGGATTGATTTTAACTTTTAGGAATGACTGACCTGGAAGACTGGGAATCCTCATCATCACAAAATACAACTGTTTAACCTCTTAATATCCACTGGATTTTTCTGGGAAATTCACCTGTTTTGCATACCCAAATCCAAAAGCAAATAACTGAGGAACTATAAGCCCAAATTACATGTGTGATACATTATTTGAAAGCTAACACCTTCTAGTTTTGGGTGAGTAAAACACCCATGATGCATCAGTTCAAACAAGATTCAAAGTTGTTGTTTTTTTATTCTTGAAAATAATAGGTGTTTTTTGAACAGCAGTAATAAAGACATGCTTGTTGCGGCTGCTTTGTCAGGCTACATTTTCACATGCTGCTATAAATCTGGTTTGGTGCTCGCTGCGTCCATTAAATGAACTTGGTGGTTGATTTGTGGAGAATCTAAGCTTTCCAATGATGTCTAACATCTATAATGGTAAACATTTTACCGGTGTTATTTTAATGCAATCTGGGTTATTATTTGTAAACGCTTTAAAACGGAGGGTTTTGAGAGGTTAATCTTCCACATATAATGTGGGTTTTAGCTGTTATTAACTGTGTTTATCCACTCTCCTAAGCTGAAGTTTAATAAACCACTCTAAAAAGAAAGATCTTTCATGTGTGTGATGTCGGGACACATGCAAGAGATGCGGATATTATTGTTAGCCAATATAAGAACCACAGAAAGGAGCTTTTATAGCAGCTCACCTCACCTGAACAAAAGAGAAAACTGATGAGCAGTCCTGATGAGATTTTTGGAGGAGGCAGAGAAATGGTTTTCAAAGACAGTGACACAACAGAGGTGACGCCCCCTTTTCCTTTATGTTTCAGCTAACTGGCCCAAAATGTGCATGAGACGTGTCCAACATGGCCCACTGGGATAACCCACGCAGCATGGAGCCCACAGACCCAGCAGGTAAAGGCATCAACTTATACTGCAGGTCAAACGCTTATTCTATGAAATCTGTATAACAAAGCTCCTTTTTTTGGTCCTAATCCCGCCCCCCTTTCTCGCCAGGTTACTGGTCCCCCACGGTTCCTGAGGCCGAACTGTACCGAAGCCTGCAGGCTGTGCTTCCCCGGTGCACTGACCAACAGCAGGGCCCAGACTGGTGTAACAGAGGTGGGATTTGTCATTGTTGATCCAAAAAAGCAAAAAGGAAAAATCCACTGATATTTGTTTCTAAGTTTGGAGAAGCTGAGTTAGCCCAACAAAACCTTGTTTTTGTTTAGGAAACATACAAAAATGCAAATAGAAATGGATAAACGGGTCCCCCCCCTTTGAAATGGGGGTCGTTTAGCTTCTTTGTTAGCCTGCAATGCCCCATACCTGTCTATTAGAGACTCACACAGGAGTGGATTTTCACTCCTGTCCCGTCCCACTACCACAGAATAAAATGGTGTCCCGTCCCGATCCCGGGCCAGAGTAGAAATCTAAATCCTGTCCCGTCCCACTCCTGGTGAAATTACTCCCACTCCCATCCAGAATGACTCCCGCTGCTCCACCCCTCCCACTCTTGTTGTTTTTGAGCGCCGGTGAGAAACTCAGAGCGGAAGCACTGTTGGTTTTTGGGTCTTGTAGTTTTTTTAACTCGCATTATAGTGTAGGCTTCAAGGAAAAAAACTACAAAATGGCGGCGCCAGTACTAGATTTTTTTTCTTTATATTTTATTTCATTTTTTGGCATCGATCCTATTTTTTTTTTGTTATTATTGGTTTGCTCCCGCTCCCGTCTGCTCCCGTTAATGTTTAATCCTGTACCGTCCTGATCACGTGATCGTTACTAATACTGACTCCGACCCCACGGGAATCCTGTGACCCGTGGGATTCCCGAAAAAATGTCAGTCTCTACTGTCTATGTCTCTGAAAGGGGGGGGTCTGGCTCTGCTGGACAGGGGCTGCAATGATAGCGGGAATGGATTAACTTAATTGCTGCATTGTGGCTGGCTGCCGGCGGAGCCTCGTGGTTTTCCCCACAGCTCGTCCCTGCGGCTGCTAGGCGCTCTGGCATTGCAGCCTTCTGTGGGTTTTCCTCGGGTGGGGGTTTCTGGGTTGGCCCCTCCTGGGCACCTTTGCTCTTGGGATTCCTTAAGGCAGCGGGGGCTTTGGGTTCCCCGGCGCTCGCCTCGGTGCTCTGGTGGGGAGGTCTTCAGCTCTTCACAACCACTTTTGAGCATTTTTCCTTTGGATAAACTTTACATGCACAAGTTCACCCTCACAAACACCTACAGGTGCTTGGCTCCAGGTACTCAGAGATTCACTTCCACACAGAAAGCCCATATTCTGATCTTCAGGTAACACAGAGTACATGTCAGACTAAATAATACTCCTTTAGCGATAGTATCTAGGTGTTACTTTATTGTTTGTCTCGTACCATGTCTGTTGGTTATGTTGTTCTTTTTCCATCTCTTTGCAGCTGATGAAGCAGACTGAAAATGTTTTATCATTATCTCCCTTTTATCTCCTCTTTCTTTCATCTTTTCTCCTTTTTTCCTGTTTTTCCTTTCCTGTACTACTTACAGCAGTGTCCATATAATCTGTAAAACTCCCTGCATGATTTATTATAAAGCTATTTATATGCATAACACGATGGCGATAGCCGTACTGCTCCACTGGTGAAAGTAAAATCTGTTGGGCTCTTTTTGGCATCAACACAATTATTCTTGTTGCAACATTGACACTGTTAGAAAAATAAATAAATAAATAAATAAATTGTAGGTTTTTCAAAGCTCAAATCTGACCCGTTCATCCGTTTCTATTTGCATGTTTTCTAAACTAAAACCAGGCTTTGTTGGGCTGCTGGATAAAACCTGGAACTAAACGCTATTTCTGACATTTTGAATTGAAAACTCTTCCTGGATGGAAGAGAAACGTCTTCAAACCTGGAAACAAAGTCCAGTGGATTGTTTTTAACTTTTTTGGGAAGAGGTGGGATTTATCCCACTGTCAGGTTTTACCCACTCTAAAATAAATCTTATGTTTCCCCCTCATCAGCCGGGCAGATATTTCCTGCAGCAGCATGACTCGTCCTGCAGAATATAGCCTTGAGCGCTGTGTTTAAGCTGTTGTGTTGTTAGTGACCAGAATTGGTTAGATCAGTGACGTAATAGACAGCAGTGGTGCACAGCCAGCGTGTGATTTAGTGCTTGCCTTTCATGTCTGTGTGCAGGAATGCTGAGATGGACGCTTCATAAAAAGGTTCAGAACAATCCTGCCAACAGCTTATCTCTGCTGTGGGTGCTGATAAAGGAGCTCGAAAAGGTACAGTGTTTGTTTGGTGGGTCGTAAAAACTCTCGAGCTTGCACTTTCAAAGAGGAAGGAAGCTTCAGTCACCGTGGCGACGGCAAACACATGTATTTATTAAAACCACATGGGTGTTGCTCCACAGGCTGAAAGGTGGGATTCCCGCAAGTCCATCATTCCTCTGCTGCACATCCTGATGCACGCCATTGTTCAGGTACTGAGTAGAACCGTCGCTGTCGGCTGAATGCATCTGATTTAAAGACTCAAACCTCTGAACATGAAATGTTTGGTGACAGAGGGGGGGGGGTTATGATCTAAGAGGTGAAGGATACTTTAAAAAACAACACTTTAGAACAACCAGAAAGAGTTTTTGTTTATCTGTGTGTGGAGTAAATGTCTGGAATGGATTGAATGACGAGTTTAAAAAAATTAAAAATGCAAACCAATTTAATAAACTGATTAAAACCGAGCTCATTTCAAAATATAAGGTGACTGTTTAATAGTCTATAATGTAATTGATGACATAAATAGAACTTAAAATAATTGTACATGGCTAAACATCATGTGGAATGGAAACAAGTGTTTTTTTGTTTTTTTGATGTTTTAATTGAGGATAAATTGACAAGTAGGAAAGGGGCGGGACATTATAAGATGTATCTTCTACCTGCTCCCTTTCGAACAGAAAATATAAAATTTACATGTCACATGGGCAAAATAATTTGTTTTATATTTTCATTCTTAAGTTTGTTTCATTCAAATTTTTTTTTCTTTCTTGATTGTTTTTACTGTCTGTTCAAAATAAATAAAATAAATAAAATAAAATAAATATTTCAGAGGACATGGCACCTTAAAATCGTCAGGAAATCATATTTAAATTTTAAGTCATTCTGGCTTAAACATGTATATAAATATACTCTTTATCAGAAAATTTATATTCTTATCATATATCAACGGTCATCTGTCAATCACATTTTTCGGTCATACTATCTTGATTCATATGTCGCAGCTAATATACGCAACGGTTGATTGAAATATAGAATAAGAAATAGGAATAATTTCCTTTGCCATCCTTAAAAACATTGTTTTCTTCAATAAACTCATGATGTTTGTGTGTGTTTTGTCGTTTCAGACGGCCTACATCCCAGATGAGCTGTACAAACGTATTTATGACTTTTGCAAGAGGCTGCTGACGTATCCTCAGCCTTACTGCACCGTGGGCCTCAGCTACACGCGACAGATAAATACAGAACGCTTCATCCCAGGTCAGTTATCAGAGGTGGAAAGTAACGAAATACATTTACTCAAGTTACTGGATTGAGTAGGTCTTTTGTATATTTTGTATTTTTCAAGTAGTTTTTAAAATTGGTAATTTAAATTTTACTTGATTAGGTTTTGAGTGAAGTATTTTATTTCGTTACATTACAAATCCCATCCGTTACTGAGTAAAAAAAAACTTTGGAAAACCGAAAGGAAGACAAAAAATCGGCCCGGAAGCGCTACAGCGAGTGACGTGATCAGCATGTAGATCTAGGCTACCGGGCGCCAAGTCTTTCTGTAGGAGATTGGGAACGAGATGGAGGTGGATCAGAGAACGTTTCACTAGAAATGCTAGCTGAAAACATCGAATTCTGCTGCCCAAAAACGACGAAAATCCTCGGCCATATTTGTTTTGGATTTATGACTCCTTGTCCTGTTTTCACTACATGGGAGAGATCCCCTGCCCCGTACAACAGTTTTTTTTTTTATGTAACTAAGTAACTTTTACTTAAAATACATTTTAAATGAGCTACTTATTACTTTTACTTGAGTAATTTTTCTGATGGGTAATTTTACTTGTACTTGAGTAATATTTCATCCAAGTATTGGTACTTTTACTTGAGTATGATATTTTAGTACTTTTTCCAACTCTGGCAGTTATCATTCGGTCATGAAATATTTCAGATCATGAACATAATCTGGGCAGAACAACTACAATCGTTTAGTTGCAGTTTAACCTCAAACACATGAAACTAGTCGGGATTGTCCCGATCTCGAGATCGGATTGGCGCGATCTTTCCCCATTTTATCGTGATGGGAGCTCGGCTACATTAGCTGCCAAATTGTGTCAATCCTGCCAGTTCCGGGTGATGAAAGCTGTGCAATACAAACCTCGGTGGCGGTGCAAAGCAAGCGTGTCAGAGGTTTGGAAATATTTCGATCTGGAGAGTGAAGACTGTCCTAAAGCTACTTGCAATGTCTGCAACACAGCAATTTGAAGAGGAGGAAGTAGCAGAGCTGCGTTCAAGAACACAAACTTGATTCCTCATCTGAGGACAAAACATGATGATGTGTATGAAGCGTTTTGTAAACTTACAGATGGACTTTATGAGGAGACAAAGACTCCAAGGAAAACAGGAGGGCAAAGACGATTACAGAAAGGTTGATCGAATCTGTCAACATATTCTCATTATCAGTTCGTATGAAATCGTACGAAAAGTTATGCACACTATTTCGTACGTTTTGGACGTTTTTCCTCAAAAAACCACATCAGTGCACATGCGCTGGCAGACAGAAAAAAAAAGCAGATCCGCGGACGGACGTAAAAATGGGAAAAACTGTGCAATCATCACTTATTCATGTCTCTAACTACGTTGCTTGCTGTTTTATACCTTAGGGTTAGGGCCAATTGTAATTTATATTCTATATTCGTCAATGGTGCGTCAGATGCGCATGCGACGAAAAAAACGTCCAAAACGTACAAAATTACGGTGCATAACTTTTCGTACGATTTCATACGAACTCATAATGACAATACACTGAATCTGTTGCCCTTGACAACCAGCCCATCTCAGCAGTTGGGAATGTCGAACTCATGCTACGTTCAATCAGCACGCTGCAGAGGCAGCAGAAGAAGATGAATTGCATGCAAAGTCAATGGTTGACGCACATCAAGGCGCAGCAAAAGGTCCAGCAGTGTTTTGGGCTTCTGAGCATCTGAGGCGCTTCAGAAGCCGCAGCTGCTGCAGTTAAAATTCAACTTTAGCTGCTGGACGCGCCTCATCAACCAATCAGAGAAGCTGATCTAGGAGCTGGCAGGGAGTCAGACGCAGCACTGCTGATGCAGAGCGCTATGATCGCTCCTCTGAAACAGTTTATTAACGCCTAAATTAACTTCAAATGTAGAAACCTGCCGGCAGAATATGTTGGCTTTTATTATCCTGCTGCCTGCAGTTTGGATCACGTACGTGAAAAACGCCTTCCAGCTGCTGTGAACAGTAGCTGAAAATCCCCAAGAGGTGAGCGGGCCTGAGGCAGCTGCTGCTGGAGATTCCCAGTGACAGCTGAAATGTTTGTAGCCTTCAATTCTATTCAGTTTATTTCTATAGCTCCAATTCACATCATGTCATCTCACGTCACTTTCCAGTTCACCAGATCATCCAGTCAGATTGATTCAAAGTTTTCTATCTAAGGAAAACCAGCTGATTGCATCGACTCATTGACTCTTCAGCAATCCCTCACACTAAGCATGCTTGTAGCGACAGTGGAGAGGAAAAACTCCCTTTGAACAGGAAGAAACCTCCAGCAGAACCAGGCTTCACTTCCCCTTTTCTCAAAATATTGGATCAGGACTGGAAATCGTAACGTATTTAAGGCTTAAAGCTCCTGAGTCCTAAAGCGATGACCGCTACATCACCAGAAATCAGAGAGGCATTGGTCAGAAGTTTAAATCCCTTTACTTGGTTTGTGGTTTTTATAAAACAGATTTTAGAATTTAACATTAAACATTTGATTTCCTGCCTTTCTGCTCCGACTAACGTAACAGAGAGCAGTTTCTGTAGAACAGGTTTCACTATTTTAAAAACAGAGTACAGAGGAAACTGTTTAACATCTTTCACAGCTTTTCTTTTCATTTAATGCAATAAAGTTTACTGATTGTGAACTTCATGATCAAAATAAGAACACTGTTTTAGAAATATAACAAACCACCAAAATGTCACATCATGTCCTTGACAACAGTTTGCTTTTTTAAAAGCTTCTTACATCTATGTGCTTCCTCCGATTCTTCGTCATATTTTAAACATGAAGGTCTAAAGAGCTCATTTCACCTGAAAATCCAGATGTGAATTAAAAGAAGTTCAGCTTTCAAACTATAAATTGGAAATACAATTGTTTGTATTTTTGTGACAGGAAGGCATTGGGGAATATTTTTGAGGGTGGAGCCACTATTTTAAATGTCCCCATGTCTGATTTATAGGCGATTAAACAAAGAAAAAAAACGAAAAAAATGTGCGTCGCTAAAATTCTTTCAAAATAAACACTGCAAAACCCCATGAAAGCCCACCTTCAGACTTTATAGATCCACATCTTGACTAGAACTCAAGCAAATTAGGACTAATAAGTTGCACAGCAAAAAAATAAATCTAAATAAGTCATTTTTTCTTGAATTAAGTATTTAAGTGAGACACTTTGCCAATGGAGCAAGACAATTTACACTTAAAATAAGAAAAAACAATTGCATTGTCTGATTTCAAGTGCATAATATCTTGATACCTTATTTTAAGAGTAAAAATACTCCTTCCATTAGCAAATCATCTTATTTACCTGCTCAAATTAAGGGTAAATACTCTTAATTTAAGACTCATTTTGAGGTCGTTTTTGCAGTGTGAAGCCCGTTTGTTCCACAAAGGTTTCACAGTGCTGAAAAGTGGCCAAATTATGCATTTTTGCATAATTTGGCCACTTTTCAGCACTTTCAGCACTGTGCTAAACTCCTCTGTAAAACTCCATGCATGAATTATAATAAAGCTATTTATATGTATAAATCATGCGACGGCGATAGCCGTACTGCTCCACTTGTGAAAGTAAAACCTGTTGGGCTCTTTTTGGCATCAAGACAATTATTGCTATTGCCACATCGCCAAACAGGACACTGTTAAAAAAAGAAAAAAAAGAAGGAAATGTGATTTTGGTAAAATACCAAAAGTGCAAAAATGCATTATTCACTGCAAAAAATAGAAATCTCAATAAGTTATTTTTTCTTAAAATAAGTGCGTTTTTCCTTGATTTGAGAAGGTAAGTAAGACACTTTGCCAATGGAACAAGACAATTTCCTTTTAAAATAAGAAAAAACAATTTTTTCTTCTTATTTCAAGTGCATATTATCTAACTATCTTATTTTAAGAGTGAAAATACTCATTCCATTGGCAAATCATCTTATTTACCTGCTCAAATTAAGGCTAAATATCCTTAATTTAAGCAATTTTTTACTTATTTCTGGATTGTTTTTGCATTATTTCCACTCATTAAAGGGAATCTGGTCAGACAAATATGCTGATTTCCATTATTGGAGACCTTCTGCATGAGGGAAAGCCTTTGCTGCTCAGATTTAGTCGTTGTTTCATTTAAATTTACCAATAAAATCACCAAACTGGATAGAAAATAAGAATAACAGAGCAGCTTATGGAACGCACGAAGGTTACATCACCTGAAATGGTAACACAATGTCCTCCGACCCCTCCTTGGAAAGATCTGAGCCTCTAGTTTCCAATGATGGCAGCCATTAGGGGGCGGGGCTAAGAGTCACACATGTCAGGTGGAATTTTAAATCTCATTTTATTTGTTTGAGCAGCTATAAAGCAAACAGTACCGGGCCCACCAGGCTGAAAGGGGTTAACATTCAGGCTCTAAACTTAGACTGATCGTCTCCATCAATCATTCAGCTCATCACAGTGAGGGGGGGAAATCCGCTATGCTTAGGGGGGGGCTGTAGCCTGATGATGTCATTAAACATCGGTTTGATCCACAGGTCTGATGTACCAGAGGATGATCACAGCAGAACAGAAGCTAAAAAATGAGCACTATCCCGTCCAGGAGAGGTGAGAAACCGTTTGAAACGCAGCTCTGCTGCTCTTCGGAAACCGAACGTCTGCATCGTGTTTGGTTAAAACCTCTGATCCGTCTGCAGGGTTTTCATTCTGGCCGATCCAGAAGTCTTCTCCGGCTCCCTGATCCCCGCCGTGGTGGAGGACTTTGAGGCGTCTACTTCGGCGGGATTTCAGAGCCCGCTAGACCACATGCGCAGCGTGGTTCAACACACCCTACAGGCGGCTTTAGGGCCGCAGCGATGCCACGGTCCCAAGCTGGCTCAGGCCCTCAGGGTCAGTCACCTGGTTGCTGAAATGTTCTTAAACGAGAAAAAATGAAATCTAGATCAGTAATTGTTTTTTAAAATATGTGCAATAGGAGAGATTTTGCCAATGGAACAAGACAACTTACATTTAAAACAAGTAAACACAAATGAATTGTCTTTTTTCAAGTGCATATTATCTAATTATCTTATATTAAGAGTAAAACTCCTCATTCTATTGGCAAACACCTCATTTACCTACTCAAATCAAGGGTAAATATACTTAATTTAGGATATTTTTATTAATTTCTAGGTTGTTTTTCCAGTGTAGAAACTCCTCCTCTCTGCTTGTTTGATGTATTTCTGTTGTTTTTGTGCAGGACATGGGTCAAGATGTGGAGCCGTACTTTCAGTACATGTTGGAGATTCTGGAGCACAGCGTTGAGGAGGGCTACAGAGGTGAAGGGGGAACGCTGAGCAGCCGACTCCTGCAGCTCTACGGCGAGATCGTCTCTGATTCTGACGCAGGTATGCAGCGCTGCCGTGGATTCTGAGTCATCAATCATCTGGTTGGTGTGGTTAGGCGACTATGGCTGCCAAAGAAAACACCCTGTGGCTGCTTATGTTACTGGAATACAGATGTAAATAGAAGCTGGCTGCGGTTAGCCGGGCATGAAAGTTAAAAACAGAAAATGATGTGGTATGTGACGTATGCAATATTAGCTATGATATAACTGTTTATTATTGTGTTTGGTCACTTTCCAGTTCACCAGATCATCCAGTCAGATTGATTCAAAGTTTTCTATCTAAGGAAAACCAGCTGATTGCATCGACTCATTGACTCTTCAGCAATCCCTCACACTAAGCATGCGTGTAGCGACAGGGGAGAGGAAAAACTCCCTTTGAACAGGAAGAAACCTCCAGCAGAACCAGGCTCAGTGTGAGCGGCCATCTGCTGAGGCCCACTGGGGTTCAAGGAGACAGAAGCAGACATAGAAAAAGAAGCATAGATACAAAAGGCAACTGTCAACCAGCTCCACAGGCGGCCCCGTCCAGGAAACACACAGCCAGGCAGACGAGCTCCGAGCCAGCTCCCATGTCAGAGGATGAAGAGAGCACATCCAGTTAGTCACAGTCAGAGAAACAGGACTACACTGGAAAACAGGCCAAGCTCCAACATCTAGAAACAAAGACGGGGCCTGTCGCTACCCGATCCGTACCATCAGCTCATTTGCGCCTGCGCGAACAGAATAACTTCCGGGTTGCCAAAAAATTATGTAATTACGGTATTGAAAAAACTTTATTTATATCCTTAAATAATTAAAGAATACTAAACTACATCGTAAAGACAATATTGAAGACTTTTCTGGAAGAAATGGATGCTTTTTAACCTCTTACACCCTAAGGGGGTATAAATAAATTTCTGCCTGACAAAAACACACAAAAGTAAATCACTTATAGCCTCACAGCTATTAGATTTAAGAAGAAACTTTTGGTACGTCTGTAAAGGTAAGATGTCATAGAATGGTTTTCTGGTGTCAGCACCATTGTAGCTTTGACCCTGCCTGAAATATTAGGAACAAAATACAAAATATTTTGCATTTTTTGAACCTCGCTAAAATTTTCTTTGAAATAAACATTGCAAAACACTACCAAAATATTATTTATAGCACAAAAAAGTAGTACAGACTTTCAAATCTAAATGTTGTGTAAAAATATACAAAATTTGGACTCAATCAGATGAATCATATTTATTTTAGAATGGTATTAGTGAGAAATTTCTTAGGCGGAGAGGCCATTTTGGCACATTTATCCAAAAATGTCACCAAACTGTGCCAAATGTGTTTTTTACATCAATACTGGGGGTTTGTTAAAATTACGAGGTCACGTAGTAGCTGGACCCGCCGGTGGGTCCGTAGGGTTCTAGGGGTTAAATTCAATCCATTGTATTGCTTGACGTAATTTTTCTGGAATAAAAATCCAAATTTTCGGGAAATGTTCCCTTATCAATGAAAAACTGCAGGTCACGAATCAGTACTGCTGGAGTGCATAGTTAAGTACAGAGTAGATCAAATATTTAAACAAATTGAAATATATACGCTGTGTGACGTATATTTGCGCATGCTCAGAGCAGTCAAAGTAACTATCACAAGGCGATTGAACTTTTTTTATGTATTTCTGTTTTTTTTATTTTTAGAAAATGCAACATTGACGAAAATAAAAAGATATACAAAAAGAAACCCATGCCTCTAAAAAATACAAAAGAATAAAAAAGTAAGAAAAAGGAAATATTGCCACCGGAAGTTATTCTGTTTGCGCACGCGCAAATGAGCTGATGGTACGGATCGGGTAATGACGGGGCCGCCTGTGGAGCTGGTTGACAGTTGCCTTTTGTATCTATGCTTCTTTTTCTATGTCTGCTTCTGTCTCCTTGAACCCCAGTGGGCCTCAGCAGATGGCCGCTCACACTGAGCCTGGTTCTGCTGGAGGTTTCTTCCTGTTCAAAGGGAGTTTTTCCTCTCCACTGTCGCTACAAGCATGCTTAGTGTGAGGGATTGCTGAAGAGTCAATGAGTCGATGCAATCAGCTGGTTTTCCTTAGATAGAAAACTTTGAATCAATCTGACTGGATGATCTGGTGAACTGGAAAGTGACCTGAGATGACATGATGTGAATTGGCTCTATAGAAATAAACTGAATAGAATTGAAAGCCAGACCTTGCATATCGGTGCTAATATTGGTTCATTTTGTTGGTGTTAGACATGTTTATGTGTGCGAAGGCCTGCCATGCAGCCTGCAGCAGAGATCAAACACTAAGCGACATCCTCCATGACCAAAGCTGTTCAGTCAGCTGTGCATCTGTTTCCATTCTTCCCTGACTGTTATCAAGTCAGCAGCTCATCTGATCAACCTGCTCTAAGACCTTTCCGGAGGGAAGACAGGCGGATGGACAGCAGGGGAAGTTTAGGAGCTTTGTTTTACTTGCTATTGTTAAATGTTCCTCCATGTGTGCTGCAGAGCCGTTATGTGGAGCAGCGCTGTGTGACTGCCCCGTTCCTAACCCTGAGATGAGCTTCTACCTGTGGACAGAGGATCTGGATATCTGTGAGTCACCAAAGTTCAATGACGGATGTTTGCTTTGGATTGATTTTGGTTCCTCAAGGCTTCTTGGCCTTCAGCTTCCCTCCCCTGATAAACCTGTTTAACTAACTTTAAATGGTTCCACATGTTTAAATCCTCACCTTTCCTTTAATCCAAACTGCTGGTTGATGGAGGCAGAATAAAGCTGGTGGAACAACTGGAGACGAACCCGTATGAAATTCTGACCTTAAAGCCAAAATATCTCCAGATCACTGATATGATTACAGCTCGAAGAAAATGAAAAGATAAATTAAATACTGTCATCTAAATACATTGGAGTTTCTCAATTCACTAGATAATGAGAAGAACCCAGGAAAGTCTGGACTCTGGGAGAACGGGAGCAGAATAAATCTGGGTCAATTGGAACATCTGATGACATCACCACATTCAAAGCTAGTCTGGAGCTGCATTTCACCTCCTGTTATTAATAGAATATAGATAATAATAAATTATGACTTATTTCATTTAGTGGAGGAATAATAATGAACACGGTCAGATTTTGACATTTTGACGAATAAAACAAAAAAAAATCGCTGTCAGAACCAGCGGTCCTTCACACATGGCTATGCAGAGAGAGGGCTGCTACAGACAGGCTAACGTTAGCCCTGGCCGCTGCAGACGCGCTGACGTTAGCCCCGGCCGCTGCAGACGGGCTAACGTTAGCCCTGGCCGCTGCAGACGGGTTGACGTTAGCCCCGGCCGCTGCAGACGGGCTGACGTTAGCCCCGGCCGCTGCAGACGGGCTGACGTTAGCCCCGGCCGCTGCAGACGGGCTGACGTTAGCCCCGGCCGCTGCAGACGGGCTGACGTTAGCCCCGGCCGCTGCAGACGGGCTGACGTTAGCCCCGGCCGCTGCAGACGGGCTGACGTTAGCCCCGGCCGCTGCAGACGGGCTAACGTTAGCCCTGGCCGCTGCAGACGGGTTGACGTTAGCCCCGGCCGCTGCAGACGGGCTGACGTTAGCCCCGGCCGCTGCAGACGGGCTGACGTTAGCCCCGGCCGCTGCAGACGGGCTGACGTTAGCCCCGGCCGCTGCAGACGGGCTGACGTTAGCCCCGGCCGCTGCAGACGGGCTGACGTTAGCCCTGGCTGCCATTACCCATGAAGCTCCGCTGGTTGCCGGGGTCCTCTAACTTTGTAATTTATTTTTTTTTTAACCACGCAGTAAATCGGTAAATGGGGAATATAGTTATGCTTAAAAGTATAATACTCTCTTCTCAAATGATCTTAAAACGTACTTTTATTAAACAACGTTCTGTGAGCGCTAACCTGGAAGCTGCTGCTGCCGCAGTGCATGCTGGGACATGTCTGCTCTGATGCATGCTGGGTAAAGAGGGAGTGGCCACAACAACATCCAGGGACTTTGTCCGTTCTCGGTCTGCTGTTCTTGTGAACTGGAACAGTGCTACGGCTGAGGATGATGACGTTTCACGAGGACACGAGAACGCACAAGTACGCATAGTGAGAAACGGCCAATGTCTCTAAGGAGCGGATGAATCCGAAATGTGTTTTTGAGTCGTATTTCCTCCCCCCACTTCCCCCCGCAGCCATGTATAAAGACTTTAGACGCCACTGCTGTGCACCAGTCTGTGTTCTGCATGTGTCAGCGGTTCGGACGGCGTCTCATCCATGTTCTGCTGTGACAGGGAGGGAGCTGTCCAGATGGTTCCGCTCCAGCAGCGTGACGGAGGACTTCTCCTCCTTTAGCCAGGAGCAGGAGGACTTTGATCTGGGTGAATCGCCGTGCGCCATGCTGACCGCCGACATGCCTCGCTTCTCTATTATGTCCAACGACAGCGGCATCGAGAGGGACCTGCCCCCTGGCGCCGACGTCTCCGCATCATCCCCACTGGACAACCCCGGCATCGATTCAGGGTGGGAATATCACAACATGTTCATCTTTTTTTTGTTTTTGTTTACTTGATATTTAATTTTTTGTTAATTAAGCAGAGAATAATTAAGCTTTCTGGACTTTGAAATGACATTTATTCACTTTGAACATCTGTGGTTTTAGTAAAGCCCCTGATTCTCCCACATTCAAAGGAAACTTTTAGGCACCATTTCATTTTATTTTTTGTATTTAAAGGTTTTAAGGTCGGGAAAAGTCTGTTGAAGCTCAAAAAGCCTAAATAAGAGGCATCAATAAGAAAAAAAAAAAAAAAACAAGCAGATAGTTTCATGATGATCGTCTAAAAGATGCTCCAGAATCTGAATGTTGACCAAAGAATTGATCGTCGGCTCAGTGACTCAGCTGATGTTTATTTATTTATAGAAATGTTCCAAATAGAGTCACATGGTGTTTCATCCACACGCCTTTCAAATGGGCCTTTCAAATTTCTAAAACATGTTTCAAAATTAATATTTCACAAATACTTTTTGTTTTATAGCTGTGTAAACCAATAAAATGAGATTCTTAATTCCACCTGATATGCGTACCTCTAACGCAACATAACGCAACAGCAGGATTTAATTTTTAGCCCCGCCCCCTAATGTTCTGTCAGATCAGCAGCCATAGTCATTATGCATGCGCAAGATGTCAGATTTCCGTTTATCCTTTAGTGTTTTTACGAGAAATAGACTTTAAACTACCTCGACGGGCGTGTATCCCTTTAATCATGTAGAACAAAAGTATTTAAGATCGCCATACTGTTAAAAAAAACACAAAAAGTAAGTAATTAAATCGTTTTTTTGTACATGACTAAAAGGATACACGCCCGTTGAGCTAGCTTAAAGTCTATTTTTCGTGCAAAACTAAAGAGATAAACGGGTATTGACTATGGGTATGCTCATCTGACAGAACACCAGCATAATTGGATAATAGAGGCTCAGACCTTTCCAATGAGGGGTCAGAGGTCATTGTGCGACCATTTCAGGTGATGTATCCGGCATGCGGCAGCTTCCTCTGTTATTCTTATTTTCTATCCAGTTTGGTGATTTTATTGGTACAGATACTGGTCATAAAATTAGAATATCATGAAAAAGTAGATTGATTTCAGTAATTCCATTTAAAAAGTGAAACTTGTATATTATATTCATACATTACATACAAACTCATATATTTCAGATGTTTATTTTGTTTAATTTTGATGATTACAAATGACAACAAATGAAAATCTCAAATTCATCATATCAGAAAATTAGAATATTGTGAAAAGGTTCAAAATTGATGGCCCCTGGTGCCACACTCTAATCAGCTAATTAACTCAAACCACCTGCAAAAGCCTTTAAATGGTCTTTCAGTCTAGTTCTATAGGCTACACAATCATGGGGAAGACTGCTGACTTGACAGTTGTCCAAAAGACGACCATCGACACCTTGCACAAGGAGGGCAAGACACAAAAGGTCATCGCTAAAGAGGCTGGCTGTTCACAGAGCTCAGTGTCCAAGCACATTAATAGAGAGGCGAAGGGAAGGAAAAGATGTGGTCGAAAAAAGTGTACAAGCAAGAGAGATAACCGCACCCTGGAGAGGATTGTGAAACAAAACCCCTTCAAAAATGTGGGGGAGATTCACAAAGAGTGGACTGCAGCTGGAGTGAGTGCTTCAAGAACCACCACACACAGACGTATGAAAGACATGGGTTTCTGCTGTCGCATTCCTTGTGTCAAGCCACTCTTGAACCACAGACAGCGTCAGAAGCGTCTTGCCTGGGCTAAAGAGAAACAGGACTGGACTGCTGGTGAGTGGTCCAAAGTCATGTTCTCTGATGAAAGTAAATTTTGCATTTCCTTTGGAAATCAAGGTCCCAGAGTCTGGAGGAAAAGAAGAGAGGCACTTCATCCACGTTGCTTGAAGTCCAGTGTAAAGTTTCCACAGTCAGTGATGGTTTGGGGTGCCATGTCATCTGCTGGTGTTGGTCCATTGTGTTTTCTGAGGTCCAGGGTCAACGCAGCCACATACCAGGAAGTTTTAGAGCACTTCATGCTTCCTGCAGCTGACCAACTTTTTGGAGATGCAGATTTCATTTTCCAACAGGACTTGGCACCTGCACACAGTGCCAAAGCTACCAGTACCTGGTTGAAGGACCATGGTATCCCTGTTCTTAATTGGCCAGCAAACTCTCCTGACCTTAACCCCATAGAAAATCTATGGGGTATTGTGAAGAAGAAGATGCAATACACCAGACCCAACAATTCAGAAGAGCTAAAAGCCACTATTAGATCAACCTGGGCTATCATAACACCTGAGCAGTGCCACAGACTGATCGACTCCATGCCACGCCGCATTGCTGCAGTAATACAGGCCAAAGGAGGCCCAACTAAATACTGAGTGCTGTACATGCTCATACTTTTCATGTTCATACTTTTCAGTTGGCCAACATTTCTATAAATCCTTTGTTTTTATTGGTCTTCAGTAATATTCTAATTTTCTGATATGATGAATTTGAGATTTTCATTTGTTGTCATTTGTAATCATCAAAATTAAACAAAATAAACATCTGAAATATATGAGTTTGTATGTAATGTATGAATATAATATACAAGTTTCACTTTTTAAATGGAATTACTGAAATCAATCTACTTTTTCATGATATTCTAATTTTATGACCAGCACCTGTAAATTTCAATGAACCAACGACTAAATCTGAGCAGCAAAGGCTTTGTTTTATGCAGAAGGTCTCCAATAATGGAAATCAGCATAGTTGTCTGACCAGATTCCCTTTTTATAAGTGGAAATATTGGATTTTTGCATAATTTGGCCACTTTCAGCACTGTGTCAAAATCACATTTCCTCCTAGGACACTGTCAGCTAAAACCTTTATGAAACAAACATGCTTCACCTTCTTCAGTCCAGATTAGCTTGACTTATAGTCAAGATGTGGATCTATAAATTCTGAGGGTTCATCTAGAGTTTCTAATGGGCTTTATGGTGTTTATTTGTGTTTATAAATCAGACATGGTGACATTTAAAGTAGTGTTTCCACCTGAAAAATATTACTATAATACAAATAAAAACCATAGTATTTCCAATTTATACTTTCAATTTTAAGGGGTTAAACTGTGACTTTAACCCAACATGCTTTCCATTGTGAAACGCCGTGTGGTTTCTTTGGCTCTCATGACATGACGCGGTCCGTTCTGACTAAACACCTCCTTCGGTTCAGTCAACCTTCAAACCCAGCCCTGCCAGGATGGTATTTTTAGTGCGAGAACAGTTTCACCTCAGTGCCAGATGTCAGAGGTCATTCAGTGCTTTTCATTTCCTATGTTCGCTTTGATGGCGAGGTTGCAGCAGCAGCAGAACCCGTGATCCTGACTGCAGCTCTTCTCTCTCCACCAGTGAGCAGGACTCTGGTCGCTTGTCGCGGCGAGGAGGCATCAAGCTGAAGCCGAATGCGAAGGACAGCATGGTGCTGATGCAAGACACGCTGGAGGACCAGGCGAGCGCTGCGGTGAGCGGGCCTGCAGGGAGGGGGGGGAGAAGAGGGGCCACTCTGCAGAGGCGAGCAGGGGCCAGCGCCATGGAGAACCACTTCCCCAAACAGCAGAGAAACTTTACCGCCAAAATCGTCGTCATGGGAGACGACAGGGTCGTGGGTCGCCTTGCGAAGGCGTATTACTTCTACAGGTAGGAAAGTCTCTGAGCCACAAGATCTGCTTTAAACTCTGTGATGATTTAACCCTTTATACTCCAAGTTTCTTGATCACTTGATCGCCCCGTACCTCAGTGAGGTCTAGAAGCACAAGATCTATATCCAGCCATTCAGCAAAGATGCTGCTTCTTCCAAAAAAAGTTAAAAAAATAATCCACTGGACTTTGTTTCCAAGTTTGAAGACGTTTCTCTTCCATCCAGGAAGATTTTCCAATTCCAAATGTCAGAAATAGCGTTTAGTTCCAGGTTTTATAAAGTGTAGAATACATGAAAATTTGGGCGTGCTTTGGTGGCGCAGTGGTGAGGGCACATACCCCCTTTCCTGTGAGCCTGCTACCTAAAAAACTGCCACTAGTGCTGTAAATACACAAAAAAAAAGAAAACATGCAAATAGAAACGGATGAACGGGTCCACCCCTTTGGAATGGGGGCCGTTTGGCTTCTTTGTTAGCCTTTCTAAACTAAAACCAGGCTTTTTTGGGCTGCTGGATAAAACCTGGAACTAAACGATATTTCTGACATTTGGAATTGAAAAACCTTCCTGGATGGAAGAGAAACGTCTTCAAACTTGGAAACAAAGTCCAGAGGATTGATTTTAACTCGTTTGGACTGACTAAGACCTGGATGACTGAGAATCTTCAGCAGCACATAGATCCTGCTACATGGCTGAACATCTTATTTTGGCATTTGACCAATTAGATGAGCTCTTGAACAATAAAATACCTCCTGTAAGTAAAGTTGGAAAAAAAAGTCAACAAGTCAAGAAAAAAGGTAAAAAGATAATTAAAAAGTTAAAAAGTTAAGAAGAAAAAAAGGTAAAAGCTTATATCATATTATTATTACCCCATGAAGAACAGTGAGGAGAAAAGAACAACAGATTCTTAGTTCAAGTTCTTAACAAATAAAAAAAATCTGAAAAAATGTGGCATGAAAATGTTCTAAATTTAAATATATGAGAGCTTTCATGTTTGAAATCCTGATAAAAAGCCAAGAGATGATTCATACCTCTGACTTAAAGTTAACCAGGAAGTTTTCTCCCTGACTGGAAATGATTCCCCCGCCTTCCAGAAGATCATTAGATAAAACTAATAAAAAACAAATTAGATCGTGACAGGAACCGCCTTCTCTATCATGCATAGAAAAGTCTTTATTACAGAATTTAAACTTTTAAACCTTCCTATTATTGCTGATCATCATCTCCGGTATTTTTACTTCCTGATCTTTAGCGATGAGCTCCACCTTTTCTCTCCATCATCGCTCTGAGCTTTTAGCTCCATCTGTTCTTAACTGGACTGAAATCAGGTGAAACAACCAGGATTGATCCCAAACTTTAGGGCTGTGATTTCTGGAATTGATTCTTTTCAATTCCATTCTATTCAGTTTATTTCTATAGCTCCAATTCACATCATGTCATCTTAGGTCACTTTCCAGTTCAATCAAATTGATTCAAAGTTTTCTATCCAAGGAAAACCAGCTGATTGCATCGACTCATTGACTCTTCAGCAATCCCTCACACTAAGCATGCTTGTAGCGACAGTGGAGAGGAAAAACTCCCTTTGAACAGGAAGAAACCTCCAGCAGAACCAGGCTCAGTGTGAGCGGCCATCTGCTGAGGCCCACTGGGGTTCAATCTGATCTGATCTGAAATCGGATATGTTGCGTAGTTATGCAACAAGTCAGTTCTAGTGTTATGTTAAAGGAAAAGTCCGGTCAGCAGGAATAACCAATAGATCATTATTTATACCTAAAACTAATAGGTTAGTGGTGATTTAATGAATTTAGCATTAATCTGTAAGAAAATAACAACATTTCGTCACGATCACTGAGTCTGGGAGCGACCATTTTTTTCCCAAATATAGTAGCCCCTCCCTCCTGCCATCTTCCAGCAGTGACGTCACGGTGCGGTAAGCCTAGCGCCATTCTCCCCGCTTTACAAGCTAAATCAATGGGAACTACTAGACACATCTGCAATCAACAACAATTATTGAAGATTTCCAGAGGACTTCACCATTGAAATTCACCAGAGCTATAGTGAAACTGACAATGCCCACGTGCATGGCAGCTGGATGCTGGAATACATCGGGTAAAAGTGAAAAAAAAGAGTTATTCCACCTTTCTGATTCCTGATCCTCCACGGACGGGTTGGTCGTTGGATCGCCAACTTGAAGAGGGAGGATTTGCCATCGAACTTCTGGCCCGAGAAAAAACACTAACCCTGATAATATTTATTTAGTGAACTAAATATTTATTTAACAAAGTAATATTTTTATAAATGAATGAATGACAAAGTGAAAAAATGTATTGGAAAAAAATAACCCCCTAATTTTTCTCTTAAAACACGCTAAATACACTGGAAAAAATCTAAATCTAGATAAGTCATTTTTTTCTTAAAATAAGTGCATTTCTTCTTAAATCCAGGACATTAAAGAGATATTTTGCCAATGGAACAAGACAATTTAGATTTAAAATAAGAAAACACAATTGCATTGTCTTATTCCAAGTGCATATTATCTAATTATCTTATTTTAAGTGTAAAAATACTAATTCCATTGGCAAATTATCAATTTTACCTATTCAAATCAAGGGTAAATACACTTAATTTAAGACATTTTTACTTATTTCTAAATCATTTTTGCAGTGTAATCATAAATATTGCTTCTAATTTTTGACGGCTTAACTTTACAAACGGCGCCCCGTAGCAGAATGCCTCTTCTACATCATTTTATCATCTTTGGCAAGAATCCGGGTTCATTTCCAGTAAGGATCAAACTTTATGGTAGAAATAAAGTCCTTTTAATAGAAAATTTACCCAGAGAATTAATCATTCCGCCTGACTGTGACGTAACGCTCTGCCTGCTTCGGCAGGTCGTTGATCACCAGTAAGGGTGCCGTAAACCAGTAAAGTCGAGCTGTCAAACGTCACCGTTAAAGAAATATCAGCGTTTTGCTGCTTTCAGGCTCCAGAAACAAACAGAACTCCTTTGACTGAAAATGTCGCTTCCTGAAAACTCGACACGTTTTAACCACGGTTGTGAGAACGGTGCAAAGCTGGAGGTTCTCACACATGTGTGCTTTTACAGAAAGAGAGAAGCCCGGCGGCTCTTTATGACCATGAAAGTCAGCCTCCAGTTCTACTACATTCCTGTCTGCTCGGCGCCGGCACCCAGCTCCCCTTCTACGGTAAGCCACAACCCCCCCCCGGTTGCATAATTAGAGTAAACAAATCTGCAAGGATCATGAAACATGAGGAAGTGTTGGGCAAGTCCTGAAGGCGGGTTAATGACTGAACGCTCAGACTGCACCCAACTTTTTAATCTCTGATCCAAGAAGAGAAGAGAAGCTCCAACTCTGTCTCTGTGCTAAACAAATAAAAACTACTTCAATCTGAAAAACTCACAAAAGACAATCAGGAGAAATTTATTGATGCAATTACTTTGTCTTTGGTGGTCAGACCTTAGCAGGAAAAGGCTTTAATTTTGATAGATTTGCATGAACAGGAGCAAAGAACAGGGCTGTTTCCCCCCCCAGGCCTGAAACTGGTGGTGGATGGAGATAGATGGAGTTGGTCAGTCTGTAGACTGCTGGTTGGAAAGACTTTATGGGGAGATCCAGAGGACTGCGTGAGCTGATACTAGAGCTGCACTCAGGGACCTGGAAGATGGAAGTCCAGGTTGAGAGAACCTGTCCATAATGAGCAAGCATGAAGCGACAGTGGAGAGGAAAAACTCCCCGTTGGGAAGAAACCTCTGTCAGAAGCAGGCTCAACATGGCGGTCTGCTGCCGGACCGGTTAAGATGAGACAGGGAACGCAGTAAGGCCCCGTCCACACAAAGTCAAAACGAACACGAAACGTTAATATTTTCCAGAACGTTTGTCGTAAAGACGGAGACGTAAAATAAATGTGAGCGTCCACAGGAATGCATGAAAACGCTGCAAAATGTATGCCAGGCCTGTAAGTGGCGCTGTGGTGCCAAAGCAAAGATAGGCGACGAAATGTTGGGCATGCGCAGTAATATTTATACATGGTTGCCCTGCGGGTCCATTTTCGTGGTTATTTCAAATTCAGGTGCTGAACTATGTGGTCGATATTGCTCTGTTCTTCCTGGAGATATTCCAGAAGAAGAAGATTCTGTTGTAAGCCCGACAGCAGGGTGAGTAGCATGAGCAGCAACCATTCAACACAGTACGGCGCCATTGTTGCTGTGATACTGTGTCGCGCATGCGTGTTTAGAGGCGACGCTATGACGCATGCGTGTAAGAAAAAAAATGCGGTTAGAGCTTAAAGATGGAAACACGAAAACGGCGTTTCAAAATCTTCCCACTCTGAAGGCTGAATAAAAAAAAGATCGTTTACAGACCCCCGAAACGCCGGCTTCGTACGGATGAGAGGCTGGTTTGGTGAAAGATTTGTGCGTTTAGGCCAGGGTTTGACTTCGTGTGGACGGGGCCTAAGAGTCCGGGAGGAATGATGATCTCTGAAAGGGGGATTGTTGCCAGGAGACATAGACAGGTATGAGGATTCCAGGCTAACAAAGAAGCTAAACGACCCCCATTCCAAAGGGGGGGACCCGTTCATCCGTTTCTATTTGCAGGTTTTCTAAAAACAAGGCTTTGTTTTTGGTCCATTCTAGAAAGTCTGGAACTAAACGCAATTTCTGACATTTTGAATTGAAAAATCTTCCTGGATGGAAGAGAAACGTCTTTAAATTTGGAAACAAAGTCCAGTGGATTGTTTTTTTTTTTTACTTTTTGGGATGAGTATAACCTGGATGACTGAGAATCTTCACCAGCAATCCAGCTCAGTTTAACCCTAACTAACTAACGCCATAAAGTAGCTCTGCAGTTTCACATTTTTGTCTTTGTTATTAAAATTTTCAAAGTGCTAACAAATCAGTCTGTCTTTTGCTGTTTGAGGAGTTTTTAGTTTCATGTCCGTTTTTTGTAGGTGAACCTCAGTCAGAACTTGGGGGATTCCTGCACGCTTGGTTCCTACTTGAGCAACGTGGATCCATGGTACAACAGCAACATCAACAGTCTGGGATGCATGATCCATAAACTGGCTAAAATGGTAGAGTTGTTTTAATCGGTCTGATCCTTCCTATCCTTATGAGGACACAATGTCTTTGTGGTTTGCCTGACATGTCTGAAACCCTGTTACCGAATCTCGACTCCACCAGCGCTGCAGCACTATTTCTTTAGCATAAACACAGGAAGTTGCTTCACATCATTTCTACGAGGGAAACCACAACTACAGACATCTAATCTCTGAGCACAGCTGAAATCGCTCTGACTGTTTATTCATAAGCTGGAAACGGATTGGTCGCCGTGTGGAGGAGAGAAATCTGTGAATGAGGATCATCTGGAACCAGGGGTGGATTTAGGAAATGTGGGGCCCTAGGCAAAGACAGGCAGGGGCCCCTCTGAAAGGAGAAGACAACACATCAAACAGCCCCATTCTCCAGATAGATAAATGTTAATAGAACAGACATCCATTATCTGTTCTAGGTTGTGTCCCTCTCTTCTTGTCCCTTTTCTTCTTGTTTTCCTCTCTATGTTTTGTACTCAGCTGACTTTTCATGCTGTCTCTAAAGGAATGCAAGATTTTTTCCAAGCACTAAGCTCACTTAGCTGATTGCTCCTTCCTGTGTTTCCAAAAAGGCCAAAGTAAATAACCCAGTCCTTCTTTTCACTGTAGACAAGCCATGATCTGCTTATCTGTTCTCCATTTTTCATTTGGATGAAATAATAGCTGCATGAATCATGACAGCAGACAAGATAGAGGAGAGCAGGAGGCGGGGTTACCAATCTACTCGCTCTGGAGAGCAGAGTTCGCTGCTTTTAGATGTTGTCTCCAAAGTCTCCAGTAGCAGAAAAAAGTCTCTAGATTTGGCGCTAGGAGCTTTTTAGAAATCAAGCGCTAGAGGGGTCTGAAAAGTGGCTAAATATAGCGACTAAAGCGCTAAGTTGGCAACACTGCTCTTTGCATGGTTTGTTTTCAAATGGTTTGCTGCTGTCTGTTTGGACCTTTCTGAACATGTGCAGCAAATGGACTGATCCAATATGGTGGACACTGATGGAGGGAATTTTAATCAAAAACATAATTAATGTGCATAAATAAGAAATAGTTGTATTAAACATACATGGAAACAGAGTTTTATGGGGCCCCCAGGAACTTGGGGCCCTAGGCACCTGCCTAGTATTGCCTGATGGTAAATCCCCGCCTGCCTGCTTCAGTCTGGCGGGATTTCTAAAACCAA